GGAAAGAGGTTCAGGATGATGAGTGTTGCTGTTGATGAGAATCTCTCTGTCTTGAGAGTCTCTCTGAGGAAACCAGGACAACAGGGCCTTTGCCTTTTACAGATAGGGTAGTAATCAGAGTTTCCATATTTGGATTTCTCTGCCCAAGGGGAAGAGGATGTTTATCCACATACACTAAATGTGAGCTGAATCCTCTCACCGAACAAGACATGTTTGACGTTCTTGAGTTTCCATTGTTTTGGACTCTTCAAACCCACAGCCACCTTTGCCATTGTTTACTTGATCACCGGTTAAAAGGCCATATGGAGGTATTATCCGTGGCAGGAACAAGGAAGGGAACAAGAATAAGGTAGAATCTAAAAACTGTCATCTGAGGCCTGAGCTACAGAAGGGAAATAAAGCAGCCTTGTCTGGTGAGAATTGCACTGGGAGGTTGGAGGGATTATTCTCCTGGAAACGCAATCGCGGGAGCAGAAGCGTTGGCCTCTAAGGTGCTTTGAAGGGCTCTAGGAAGTGCCTTTTCTGTGCGTGGATGCTGGTGCGGTTTTTAGGGGCCTCACCAGGCAGTGGGCTAGAGGACACAACGGAAAAAGTGAGCCAGTGCACGAGGACGTCGGAGGAGAGGAGAGAACAAGGAAAGTGTCTTGGGAGCCAAGAGGGCAGAGCTCTGTGGGCGCTCAGAGGCTCAGAGGATGGACCTATCAGGTGGTGTTTCACATCTGTGTCTCTCAGCCACAACTCTGCTCTTTAACCTCCGTTCTGCCTCACCTTTTCTTCTTCACAAACGTTCAAGAAGTAGCAAGAAATAGTGATTTGAAAGGAAGATGAGCCTGTTTGCAATGTTTTTGGACTCTCTGGAGCGCGAGAGCAAAGAAGGAGAAATTTGGAAACGCAATGGGTGCAGAGAAAAGCCTGAAGATGGAGGATCAGAGGGAGGATGTAAGGCCCTCTGTGGCAGCGAGAGGTTAAAAAAAGGGCTCCAATGTTTAAAAGTATTGATTGGGAGGTTAGATTTTGTAGAGAAGAATCAAGAAATGCCAGACCTTCCTCAAATGTAATCAAAGTTGATGGTATTGTAAACAAGAGTCAAGTGGAGAGATCATGGGGAAAGA